AAACCGTCACAATGACGTCAGATACAGCTATGAACTTTCAACTGAAATAGTAACAGCTCAGACTTGAATAATCGAGTATTTAAGTATTTGTCTCACCCAATGTTGGCAATACACGGAGGCATTTCAAACTATTCCCCGTCGTCTGGGTAGGTTTACACCGATAATTAGTTAAAAAAGCATGGCATACCAAACCGTATCGTAAATATCTGACCCGAGGTACGTCTGTACGACCGTATCGTAAATATCTGACCCGAGGTACGTCTGTACGATCATAAATATCTGACCCGAGGTACGTCTGTACGATCGTAAATATCTGACCCGAGGTACGTCTGTACGATCGTAACGACAGCGGTCAAGGATATCGACTGAACGGTATGTGAACAATGCCCTCGTAAACAAGGAGTCATATAAATTCTGACATTTGATGCGTACACTTGCCCTACCCATTATCTGCAATATCTGAAATTGCCCTGGGCAGCGTCAGCTTATTCTTACATTACTATTGAAATGCATCGTTCATTGTTGTTTAATGCTGATGGCAAAAACGAGAAAAATAGCCCACCGGCAAGTATTGCGTCTCTCGGAAATATGCTGTTTCAAATTTTTGACATTTTTACTCCTGTGAAATATCACTTCTTGGAGAATAATGTTAATTAGTTCTTTCTCACAGAAGGTCACACGCCAAAATCCCATGACCTTATGACTTAACCTTTTTTTAAAAAGACGTCTTAAGAAAAACGCTGGAACCGAACGACTGCTGGTTATGGCATTATAAGCCATGTGAGATGGGGTGTCTCGTGCTGACCAGAATTCCCTTCCTGACATTAAACACAAAAGTATTACAAATCCGCGACACATCAAAAATGATTTGACAATTGTCAATGCTAGCATAGACAAATTGCAGGGTTGGAGTGATGGATTCTATTGAACATTATCTGACTGAAACTTAAAGCCCGAACATGATTTTGTTTCGAGAGAACAATGAAACATTATCTGATGGTGGGTTATTCAAATCACCCTTAGTCCGTGGCATGCGTCCGTGGTCCGTCCTTAAATAATTTCTCAGCATGTACTGGAGGGATCTTTCTCATATTTGATATGAGGATTCGCCTTGGTCAGTAGTTGTGCAGGTTTTGTTTTGAGACTGATAGAATAAACAAAAAGGCCGATAGGCGGGCATCTTGAAATTTGACATTGAATATTTGTTATCGCTATTTCTCATGAAATTCTGGAATGCTCTTTCTCAAGTTTGACATATAGGTTTCCCTTGGTCCATTATTATGCTTGTTTACTTTTGAGACTTACCGAATAAACAAAATGGCCGACAGATGGCCATCTTGGATATTGACAGTGAATGTTTGTTATCGCTATTTCACAGGAAGTTCTGAAGGGATCTTTCTCAATTTTGATATGTAGGTTCCCTTTGGCCTTTAGTTGTGCATGTTTACTTTCGAGACTAATCAGATAAATAAAATGTCTGACTAGCGGCCATCTTGGATTTTTACAGTGAATATTTGTTATCGCTATTTTCCCAGGAGGTTCTGAAGGGATCTTTCTCAATTTTGATATGTTGGTTCCCCTTGGTCTGTAGTTGTGCATGTTCGCTTTGAAAAGTGATCATAAAAACAAAATAGCCAAAGGAAGTACTACTGGTAGTAGTAATGAGATTGTTCTGATATTGTAATGATCAGATATATTTCTCTTACATTTAAGGAACTGGGCCCACTTGTATAAAACATCTCAACTCTTGAGATTTCCTCAAGTCTAAGATTTTCCATAGACAATACATTGCTTGAGATTTTCCTTAACTTTGAGATGTTTTACGGTGCATTTACTGTTTACATGACTTGATTAAACATATAGGAGAAGAGAAGAGAAAAGATCAAACTGACATAAGCTAACGATCCCTCTGGGATCTCTTGTTGTTTGAATATGAGGAAATAACAAACAAGAAACTTTGTCTAGATGACTTTTTATAGAGTAGAAAAGTGGTGGCACTCCTCAATCGTTGAATGTCGCTGGTTACAGAGACGTATATACGTATACTGGCGTTATATGTATCTACTGGTAACAGAGACGTATATACATATACTGGCTTTATGTGTATCTACTGGTTACAGAGACGTATATACGTATACTGGCTTTATGTGTCTCTACTGGTTACAGAGACGTATATACGTATACTGGCTTTATATGTATCTACTGGTTACAGAGACGTATATACGTATACTGGCTTTATATGTATCTACTGGTTACAGAGACGTATATACGTATACTGGCTTTATATGTATCTACTGGTTACAGAGACGTATATACGTATACTGGCTTTATATGTATCTACTGGTTACAGAGACGTATATACGTATACTGGCTTTATATGTATCTACTGGTTACAGAGACGTATATACGTATACTGGCTTTATATGTATCTACTGGTTACAGAGACGTATATACGTATACTGGCTTTATATGTATCTACTGGTTACAGAGACGTATATACGTATACTGGCTTTATATGTATCTACTGGTTACAGAGACGTATATACGTATACTGGCTTTATATGTATCTACTGGTTACAGAGACGTATATACGTATACTGGCTTTATATGTATCTACTGGTTACAGAGACGTATATACGTATACTGGCTTTATATGTATCTACTGGTTACAGAGACGTATATACGTATACTGGCTTTAGATGTATCTACTGGTTACAGAGACGTATATACATATACTGGCTTTATATGTATCTACTGGTTACAGAGACGTATATACGTTTACTGGCTTTATATGTATCTACTGGTTACAGAGACGTATACACGTATACTGGCTTTATATGTCTCTACTGTTTACAGAGACGTATATACGTATACTGGCTGTATGTGTCTTTACTGGTTACAGAGACGTATACACGTATACTGGCTTTATATGTATCTACTGGTTACAGAGACGTATATACGTATACTGGATGTATATGTATCTACTGGTTACAGAGACGTATATACCTATACTGGATGTATATGTCTCTGCTTGTTATAATAGACAATGACATCAATCGATGAAATATCGAATTATTATCTATTGGGGAAGTCTTCCTGTTTACGAACTACTGATGGGTTTCATCCTTGATGGACTTAAACTAAACTCTGTAGAAACCAGAGACAAACATGTACTACTGGTGTCACGTAGCTGTATAATTGGTTTTATAAATCGGTTTATAAATTACACGTTTCTCACTAGTACAGTTAAAAAATAACGTCAATAAAATCAGTTATTAACGGGAGATGAAGCGGGACGAGGGCCGCGGTGGCCACGTGGTTAAGGCGTCTGACATTCTGCTACCACTAGCCCCATCACTGGGCCACGGTGGCCAAGTGGTTAAGGCGTCTGACTTTCTGCTACCACTAGCCCTCCACCAGTGGGTCGTGGTGGTAAAGTGGTTACGGCGTCTGACATTCTGCTACCACTAGCCCACCACTAGCCCTCCACCAGTGGGTCGCGTGGCAAGTGGTTAAGGCGTCTGACTTTCTGCTACCACTAGCCCTCCACCAGTGGGTCGTGGTGGTCAAGTGGTTACGGCGTCTGACATTCTGCTACCACTAGCCCTCCACCAGTGGGTCGCGTGGCAAGTGGTTAAGGCGTATGACTTTCTACTACCACTAGCCCTCCACCAGTGGGTCGTGGTAGTCAAATGGTTACGGTGTCTGACATTCTGCTACCACTAGCCCTCCACCAGTGGGTCGCGTGGCAAGTGGTTAAGGGGTATGACTTTCTACTACCACTAGCCCTCCACCAGTGGGTCGTGGTAGTCAAATGGTTACGGTGTCTGACATTCTGCCACCACTAGCCCTCCACCAGTGGGTCGCGCGGGAAGTGGTTAAGGCGTATGACTTTCTCCTACCACTAGCCCTCCACCAGTGGGTCGCGTGGCAAGCGGGTAAGGCGTATGACTTTCTACTACCACTAGCCCTCCACCAGTGGGTCGCGGGGCAAATGGTTAAGGCGTCTGACTTTCTGCTACCAATAGGCCCCCACCACTGGGCCGCGGTGGCCAAGTGTTTAAGGTGTCTGACATTCTGCTACCCCTAGCCCTCCACCAGTGGGTCGTGGTAGTCAAGTGGTTACGGCGTCTGACATTCTGCTACCACTATCCCTCCACCAGTGGGTCGCGTGGCACGTGGTTAAGGCGTCTGACATTCTGCTCCCACTAGCCCTCCACCAGTGGGTCGTGGTAGTCAAATGGTGACGGTGTCTGACATTCTGCTACCACTAGCCCTCCACCACTGGGTTGCGGATTCAAGGCCTAAGTGGGGCAGTCGCCAGGTTCTCCGCCTTTCCTCCACCACACAAACCTGACATGTCCTTAAATGACCATAGCTGTTAGCAGGACGTAAAACACAAACAAACCAAACATATAGACTTAAACAACTTAACTGACACAAACGATCCCACATACTCATATAGACTTAAACAACTTAATTGACACAAACGATCCCACGTACTCGTATAGACTTAAACAACTTAATTGACATAAACGATCCCACATACTCCTATTAACTTAAACAACTTAATTGACACAAACGATCCCACATACTCATATAGACTTAAACAACTTAATTGACACAAACGATCCCACATACTCCTATAGACTTAAACAACATAATTGACACAAAGATCCCACATAATCCTATATATTGTTATTCCTGTTTCTAGTTTATCCAGTGTCTCGTTGGTACTCCTGGCGTCTTCCTTGCACATTTAACGACTCACCTTTTCAACCTGCTCGTGTTGCTTGTCTTTATGAATGTATGCATTATCACAATAGGATTGTCGTTCCTTTCCAATACGGCGAATATGGGCGCAGAGACTTGTAAACAGTTAAGATTCGTTCTTCGTCCAGGATTCATCGTCATGTACATGTATATAAATAAGGTAATAACATAGTTCAAATATTATAACAACTATCACACCATAATAACAGTAAGTAAACGATACATACCTGTAAAAATTCAGTCACCTTCGCTGTGTTCAAGTTAATCAATATTGTTGTTTTCTGGACGTTACCTCCGTACAGAGGAGGCCTGCTATAGACGGGGGGGAGCCTATGGACCTTCCACTATCCAGATATGAACACAAGTCTCTGAATGTGATTGTGTGTGTGAGAGTGTGTGTGTGACACAGTTTTATGTCTGTCAGAAATACCCCTGTGTACCCTCGCCTATTAATCCCAGACGTTTGGTTAGCTTAGTCAGCTTACCGAGAATTTCAATATATTCTCTGGCCTTTTACTGGCAATAAAACTAGCTGTCTAGTTCTTGTGCTTTGTTTCGTCTCCTTGAACGTCTCCAAACCCAACCTTTCGCCGATATTAAAAAAAATAGTACTTATTAATAAAAAGGATCATGTCTAATCTGTACATGTGAAACAAAATTAAACCAAACCAAACTGTACATATGTTTACCTGTGTAAACCTAAATCATGTAGAACACCTTCCCTCTCGACCTATACCACAACGATAGCGGTAAAGGTAGCACACTTGTTGTCGCGCATGAATAAAGATAGTTATAAACACACAAATGCACGAACTGATTTTGGAAGAAAACTCTATAATTTTCAAAGTAAACTAACTGCACTTGACAGACATGTCGGAGAGCATTTAAATAATGGAGGCAAAGTTACTCAGGTATGACCACTCTAAATGGAGGTTCACAAGGGTGTATTTCTGGTACAGGATTTCATGCCCTCTACACCAGCCTCAACACATGATAATTGTTTTAATAACAAGTAGTTTAATCGTAACGACACTACAGTTCATAAACAAGCTTTGAAGTTATAAAATAAAATAAAAATCCCAGTGTTTATCCAGTTCATATAGCTACTACAGCTCGCGGCAAAATACACTGACTCCCCTACAGATTACAATCGGTGTGATGGTGTTGGCCGCCTCTATAATGGTTAACCTTATCACCACTGTAGACCATAATAGACTCATCCAGATCAATATATGGTAGAGTCTACTAAAGTTACCTAGGGGTGAAAGGGTTAAGATAACCGAAATACTGGACAGGTAGGGAGTTTTACATACAGTAGTTTCGACTGAGAGATGTTTCTGTTACGGTATCTGATACTAGCGATCATTTCCGAATCAATTTAAAATACCCAGTCCCCTGACTATTCAGACTGTAAACCCACCCATGGGCCTCCGTTCTTTCACACAGCAGTGATAATAGTTTATAATTAAGTTACAGGGTGGGTTTGACAACAAACCATTCGTTGAAGTTCAATCCTATAGTCCTAGACATGGCATGATATTAGGTAACCACCCTGTAACAAGATAAACGGCACATGGTGACGCATACATGTGTCACTGAAATCTAAACCAAGTCACGTTACTATATTAATTCAAATAATACGAAAGATTTTACACATTACTTATTTCCAAATGTTCAATAATAGGCCTACTACGAACAGGTAAATGTACTTATACGTCTGACAATGATTCTAGAAAAGATATAATCACCTATAGCATATTTAGAACTGACAATAACGGAATAGCACTTGCCGTGTGCTTATTCATTTAAGAATATTTCGTTGTAATATAGCTATTTCTGGTCATTGGAGATAATGGCTGTTTGGTTTGGTTTAGCATTGTTTAACGTCCTATCAACAGCTATGGTCATTTACGGACGGCCTCCCCTGTGTGCAAGATCATGCGTGTAGTGTATGCGTGTGTGCTTTGGGAGGCTGCGTTATGTTCCGTGTTTGTCTCCTTGTGATAGCGCGGAACAGATGCCGACTTTATAGTGCTACCTCACCGAAACATACTGCCGAAGACACCCAGCAGGACACCCCACCCGGTCACATTATACTGTCTTAAATTGCTGAGCGTTTTACAGACTCTGGTATGTCTCGGGCCAGGGGACAGAACCCAAAGCCTTCCCCACAGGAGCGAACGCTCAACTTAAGGCCAAAAGTGAGGCATTGTCAAAGGAGACATTAGGAATAAGACAGTTGTTTAGAAAGAAGAGAAAAGATAAGATCCCAAATTTAGTCGCCTCTTACGATCATGTAATGGGGCAGCAGGTACAATTATTACGCCCTACCTGCAGGGACAGGGAGAATAACCACGGCATAAGATAACTATTTAAGCTCGTGGTATAACTTAATACAATATATGATTTACCTCGTCTATATTACAGTGCGAGCAATGACCGGGAGACAAAATATATTTCCCGGCAGTTCATTCTCCACGTTGAAAAATGAATTTATAGATCTTTTAATTTTTCGTTATTTTTGTTTATTATTTTTATAGCGTATTAGAGTTTTTCTTTCTCGCCGTCACCTTTTCTTGTAACTGGTATATATATATATATATATATATGGCTCTGCTTGGTTTACCCCAACACTTTAGATCATCACTCATTATAAATGACATAGGGGAGACCGGGAGAGGTTCGGCCCATTTATTTATTCCAGTCGCTCTTGACGGTATAGCATTTGTTGAAATTTGTGTAGATACTAAATACCATTAGGAAAAGTAATCCCAAGCCTTTCATAAAATAGTTATCAAAGATTACAAAAAAAATTGAATTGAGTTTCATTGCGGTGCAGAATTATATAGCCTAATTCTTACATGTGTAAATGTATAGTAATTGAGTGAGTTAAACTTTGATTGATAGGTACTAATGATTTAACGGACTTTTATAGCATGATAGGTACTAATGATTTAACGGACTTTTATATAGTTATTCATCCATTAACTATATGTTTAAATAACTGAACTAATCATATTTGCATTGTTCAATAACAGAGCCTTGCAAAATTAAAACAATCTCAATTCGTTCATAAATCTCATATCAAATGGAAACTCACGCGAGATCCTCCATGTATCAATTCATGTTGACTAAACAAAAGGAGATGACTTACATAAGCTTTGAGCTTGCTGTCAAATCCTTTAATTAGTCATCTATACTTAATTTGTTTTTGTACCTGAAATTATTGAATAAAACTATTGTTTAAACTAAAATGATAACAAAAGGACAAACACGTCCGTATTAATAGATTTCTTTACCTTTTCCTGTCTGAGATCGGATGGCCAAACGAGCCCGCCATGGGGTAAGTTCGGACAGGCAGTCGGGTTACTTTCGGCCCACATTGGAATCAGCATAATTATGACGCCATAAAGCATGCAACGTCGTATTTCCCTACCAATTTTACTATTTCCGATGTGTTGCATGGGACGAACCTGTCCAAAATTGATATTTCAATAAATTCGTATTTTCCAGACATATGTATACGAAAGTCAATGCTAGGCATATATTAGTCCGAATTATTCTGACGTTTTATCGACTTTTTTCATATCGGTCTGTAATCGACGACAGACCGATATACAAAAAAAAGTTGATAACACGTCAGAATAATTCGGACTAGGCATACATGTGATATAAATAAGTAGCAATTCGGTTTATAGCATTTTTATTGTGAACGTCTCCAGTAAAAAAAATGGGAAAAAGAGAGAAAAAAAAAGAAAAGTGTGAATAATTTATAGAAATTTTTTCCCGTCTTTTTCATTTCATAAATGTGACAAAAATAGTTTACATACTTGAAGTTATTTATATGTTTAGATCAGTGACGCACTAGTTTTATACGTCTCTGTTTAGATAATCTAGTTGATATTTTGAATCAAAGACAACAAATATCAAAGAATTATATCACTGGGCGACTTAAATAGATTCTAATTCTGTAATAATATTCGTTCTACCGAATGTCAGTAACTTTTAACCAGTTCGAGTTATTTCCCTTGACGTAATGCCCGGATGAAGGAATGAGAATGAAACACGCGATTTGGAAATCTTGTCATGTACCTACTGTAGACCGATGCTACCTCCCCGAGGCTTGTCCGTAACCTAACTAGGCCACCCTTCCTAAACATGAAATAATATATGACTCTAGGGAAAAAACTGAAGTGATAGAATATATCATAAACATCGATAAAAATCGAAAAGAAAAACATTCTGGCCTTCCGAAAATTACGATCTCGGGAACAAGAAGAGTCGAGAGGTCCATTGAGTGATAGACAACAGACGATATTGGAAAGGATGAAGCAGAGCTAGTGCTGTCACTCATTGTACATTCTCCCAAGATGTCTGACCACCACATAAAGGACCTGCGTCCTGGTATTAAGAATATAAACCTCATGTTTATAGTTCTGGAAATAGGTAAATACTATTTATTATAGGCGGTGTTAGCTGATTTTCTTACCCCCCGTGTAAAAGGACCGAGTGAAATTTCGACCTTTTTGACCATTAATGAAAGATAAACTAAGAGAAACAAGTATTTCCTTTTAAAGATTAACTAAGAAAAAGAATAATTTCATTTTAGGTTCTATTATATCAGCTAGGTCCAGTACTCCAATCAGGCAGATTGAGCTATATATAGCTGTAACAGAGACCTATAATAGCTCTATTGACCTATCTGAAATAGGTCTTTTGAGTAATTTTCATGTGATTTTCTTTTTTAATGAAAACGAAACAAAGTCGCTTTTAAAAGAAGATTTTATCATTAAGTTGATAACAAAAGACATTAAATATAAGTATTCTTTTTAAAAAATAATGATGTAAAAAATTCGAGAAAATTTTGCATTTATGAAAATAAACATCTAAATGTATGCTTTTTGTAGTCAACATTACCATGAACCTTATTGTTTAATGCGACTTTGCTTTAATTAAATGAAAATTGAAATCTTCAGAAAATATAGCTCAAAACAGCTATAATTTATAGGTGAATATAGCTATATTAGGTCTTTATAGCTATATAGCTCAATCGGCAGAGTGTACTGGACCTGTATATTTATGGTTAAAAGATCAATGTCAAACAACAATGATTAACTTATATAATTATTCGATTTCTGTAAAAATAATTGGATGCCAGGTGTCGCATCGACTTAGTATAATCTGTCTTGATTCAGATCATGATCACTAGTGACTTTGTTGACACACTAGAGTAGTGCCTCGGTAGCCACCATTGGTAACATGCACAAGTTATTTCTACTGTGTGTAATCAAGGGCGAACTTCAGACCAATCATTCTCCAAAGAATTTTGGTTCAATCCCTATAGTGGTTGTGGAAAAGAGAGTAAAGGGTTAGTTGTTATCCCTCTGATGGCACAGTGGTTTTCCCCAGTGGGTTTTCCTCCCCCACAAAAACATTGTTTGTTCCCTTAAAGAGGTGTAATAAATGCTCTAGAGAGGTGATGTTTGTTGACAAATTACATGACGTTACTTAGAAAGATTAATTATAATTTTTTTAACATTTGTTTATATAGTCGGTTGACCACTAGTTGGACCTGGTAATTCAGTTGGTTATATCAAGTGTTACAGTTTGTCTGTAGTTTGGACCTGGTAATTTGGTTGGTTATATCAAGTGTTACAGTTTGTCTGTTGTTTGGACCTGGTAATTCAGTTGGTTATATCAAGTGTTACAGTTTGTCTGCAGTTTGGAGTTCCCAGGTTCAAATACAGGTTGGCAGTGCAATGCATTTTTCTGTTCCATAAATTTGTTAAATTTTATCTTGTCGGATGTAAAAAATTTTTTTTTTATATTTGTTAAAGTTTCCAAAGTTTTATATACATTGTATATCTTTTTACATTCATACATGTACTGACAAGCATTTTACCTTTTGCTCTAGTCCTTATACACTCGCAAATAAGATGGTACTTTATTTGACATTAATTGTTATCGACTAAAGTAATAATAAGGGTTGTCATTTGGAGATGCAGTGGGTAGTACACTATACCTTTGAGTTTCATTAAGATAGTCAGTTGAGAAGTTTAATGTCCAATACATGTACCAGTGTATCAGCGTCTTTGTAAAAATGAAGTTTTGAAAAACTGACCAGTAATTTGTGTTCTTGCATAATAGGGAAACCAACAAGAACAAAAGATGGCCATGATGTACGCTCGTGTAAAGTAGCAGACAAGACAGGAAGTATCAACATCTCTATTTGGGACGAGACTGGTGATCTGCTTCAGACCGGAGATATATGTCGCCTTACCAAAGGGTATGGTTAATAGGTTCAGATTTTTAGTACATGTATCTGGGGATGCCATTCCTCATCTTTTCAGAAGATTTCCTATTTTCCCATAATTTTGAAAGTTCTTGGTTTCTTCTGAAGCATTAAAAATGTGAAGTTTCTAAGGATGTGTGGTGTGTTTCTTCCTTTTCACTTCTTCTTTCATAATCTGCAACTGATTTTCCTTTTTTCAATCCCCAAGTTGTGAAAATTAAATCAAGGTTGTTCATATGATTTTAAATAATGATCCTTGGTCCAGATTTCCTGTCAATAAATTAAAGATCGTCCCTTCCTCCTGCCACCAAGAATGAATTTTCCCTTTTTGTTCTTGTGACACAAGTTGAAAATATACATACGTATCAGTGTTCCCAGTAACTCCTAACTTAGGGTTTTCTACCCCCTGATACATACGTATCAGTGTTCCCAGAAACTCCTAACTTAGGGTTTTCTACCCCCTGATACATACGTATCAGTGTTCCCAGAAACTCCTAACTTAGGGTTTTCTACCCCCTGATACATACGTATCAGTGTTCCCAGAAACTCCTAACTTAGGGTTTTCTACCCCCTGATACATACGTATCAGTGTTCCCAGAAACTCCTAACTTAGGGTTTTCTACCCCCTGATACATACGTATCAGTGTTCCCAGAAACTCCTAACTTAGGGTTTTCTACCCCCTGATACATACGTATCAGTGTTCCCAGAAACTCCTAACTTAGGGTTTTCTACCCCCTGATACATACGTATCAGTGTTCCCAGAAACTCCTAACTTAGGGTTTTCTACCCCCTGATACATACGTATCAGTGTTCCCAGAAACTCCTAACTTAGGGTTTTCTACCCCCTGATACATACGTATCAGTGTTCCCAGAAACTCCTAACTTAGGGTTTTCTACCCCCTGATACATACGTATCAGTGTTCCCAGAAACTCCTAACTTAGGGTTTTCTACCCCCTGATACATACGTATCAGTGTTCCCAGAAACTCCTAACTTAGGGTTTTCTACCCCCTGATACATACGTATCAGTGTTCCCAGAAACTCCTAACTTAGGGTTTTCTACCCCCTGATACATACGTATCAGTGTTCCCAGAAACTCCTAACTTAGGGTTTTCTACCCCCTGATACATACGTATCAGTGTTCCCAGAAACTCCTAACTTAGGGTTTTCTACCCCCTGATACATACGTATCAGTGTTCCCAGAAACTCCTAACTTAGGGTTTTCTACCCCCTGATACATACGTATCAGTGTTCCCAGAAACTCCTAACTTAGGGTTTTCTACCCCCTGATACATACGTATCAGTGTTCCCAGAAACTCCTAACTTAGGGTTTTCTACCCCCTGATACATACGTATCAGTGTTCCCAGAAACTCCTAACTTAGGGTTTTCTACCCCCTGATACATACGTATCAGTGTTCCCAGAAACTCCTAACTTAGGGTTTTCTACCCCCTGATACATACGTATCAGTGTTCCCAGAAACTCCTAACTTAGGGTTTTCTACCCCCTGATACATACGTATCAGTGTTCCCAGAAACTCCTAACTTAGGGTTTTCTACCCCCTGATACATACGTATCAGTGTTCCCAGAAACTCCTAACTTAGGGTTTTCTACCCCCTGATACATACGTATCAGTGTTCCCAGAAACTCCTAACTTAGGGTTTTCTACCCCCTGATACATACGTATCAGTGTTCCCAGAAACTCCTAACTTAGGGTTTTCTACCCCCTGATACATACGTATCAGTGTTCCCAGAAACTCCTAACTTAGGGTTTTCTACCCCCTGATACATACGTATCAGTGTTCCCAGAAACTCCTAACTTAGGGTTTTCTACCCCCTGATACATACGTATCAGTGTTCCCAGAAACTCCTAACTTAGGGTTTTCTACCCCCTGATACATACGTATCAGTGTTCCCAGAAACTCCTAACTTAGGGTTTTCTACCCCCTGATACATACGTATCAGTGTTCCCAGAAACTCCTAACTTAGGGTTTTCTACCCCCTGATACATACGTATCAGTGTTCCCAGAAACTCCTAACTTAGGGTTTTCTACCCCCTGATACATACGTATCAGTGTTCCCAGAAACTCATAACTTAGGGTTTTCTACCCCCTGAAACAGTGGCTTGTTCCCCCAGGTATCTAGGCGGCTGTATGAAGCTAATGACCGGGAGCTACAGAATCTTGAAAATGTATCAAATTTATCCCCAAATCTAAAATTCAGTGGGACCACCATTGATTTTATTTGGTCCACTTGTACAGCCAAATGAAGGCTGCTTCCCCCTGTATTTATTATATTATAATCGATCATCGGGACAACGCTAGTTTCGCCCGCGATGCATGTTACAAGTGGTTAAGGCGTCATTTTCCAGCGGTGATGGTTTAGCTCTGTTTCTACTTAAGTGTATTATACGTGCTACACCAACCAAACTTGGAACATCTACAGTTTCATCTTGATAGCTAGGGCTTCTTTATTGCAATCCATGCATCAGATATTGAAACTTTTTGCATGAGCTTATGTGTACAGCATCTCAAATAAGTCCTAAAACAGTTCCCTCAACAATTTTGACATTTTTGATAAATGAGTAACCCTTGAGATAATGATAACATTAAACTCTCGTCCCATTTAATACAATACATGTGTTTACTTCTATCATATGAATACCATGTTATGCAGTGTCATAAAGCCATCAATAAATCATGTTCATGTAACGTGTGTAATATCACTCAGGAAATGACGTCACAATCGCATAGAACAATCAAAGTGACGTCACGTCATTGTGAAGCGGATGCAATTTTCATAGTTTTTGAGGCGGCAAAGTGCAAAAAATTTGTTGAACATCACAATTACACAGTTAACTTATATATGATCAAAAGAATATGTCATTCGTTTGCCTTCATATTAGATTTATGATACTCATTTTGGATTTTCATATTTGCTGGCCAAAGGCGTGCAAACATGAAAAATCCAAAACTAATATCATAAAACTAACATGAAGGTAAACTGATGTTGGTCCTCTATAATTGTTAAATACTTGTTCCAGAAATATATTGTGTATGAAAACACATTTGAAATCTTCTACATGTACTGTACTTCTTTAAAATGAGAAACTTCTTGGAAAACTTTCAAGAATGAAAAATATTTTTATGTTTAAATGGAAAATTGTATCGGTTTACTCATCTGTAAGTGTAAGATAAGTATGATGTTTTATCTCTATAGTTGTTTACAAGGGGACATAATCATGATCATCTTTAATAAGTACATAGCTTCTTTAAACTCAGAGAATATTGATTGAAGTTTTATATTCTTTAGGTACGCCAATATTTGGAAAGGCTGTTTGACATTATATACAGGAAAAAATGGAGAAATAATCAAAATTGGAGAGTAAGTATACATGAAATATTAAGGCACCCTAGCTCCCTTGACAGTGAGATAGGAATATTAAGGCACTCTAGCCCCCTTGACAGTGAGATAGGAATAGTAAGGCACTCTAGCTCCCTTGACAGTGAGATAGGAATAGTAAGGCACCCTAGCTCGCTTGACTGTGAGATGGGAATGTTAAGGCACCCTAGCTCCCTTGACAGCGAGATAGGAATAGTAAGGCACCCTAGCTCGCTTGACTGTGAGATGGGAATGTTAAGGCACCCTAGCTCCCTTGACAGCGAGATAGGAATAGTAAGGCACCCTAGCTCGCTTGACAGTGAGATGGGAATGTTAAGGCCCCCTAGCTCCCTTGACAGTGAGATAGGAATATTAAGGCACTCTAGCCCCCTTGATAGTGAGATAGGAATAGTAAGGCACTCTAGCTCCCTTGACAGTGAGATAGGAATATTAAGGCACTCTAGCCCCCTTGACAGTGAGATAGGAATAGTAAGGCACTCTAGCTCCCTTGACAGTGGGATAGGAATAGTAAGGCACTCTAGCTCCCTTGACAGTGAGATAGGAATATTAAGGCACCATAGCTCCCTTGACAGTGAGATAGGAATAGTAAGGCACCCTAGCTCCCTTGACAGTGCGATAGGAATGTTATGGCACCCTAGCTCCCTTGACAGTGAGATAGGAATATTAAGGCACTCTAGCCCCCTTGACAGTGAGATAGGAATAGTAAGGCACTCTAGCTCCCTTGACAGTGAGATAGGAATATTAAGGCACCATAGCTCCCTTGACAGTGAGATAGGAATAGTAAGGCACCCTAGCTCGCTTGACAGTGAGATGGGAATGTTAAGGCACCCTAGCTCCCTTGACAGTGAGATAGGAATATTAAGGCACCCTAGCTCTCTTGACAGTGATATAGGAATATTAAGGCACCTAGCTCCCTTGACAGTGAGATGGGAATATAAAGGCACCCTAGCCCCCTTGACAGTGAGATAGGAATATTAAGACACCCTAGCCCCTTTGACAGTGAGATGGGAATATTAAGGCACCCTAGCTCCCTTGACAGTGAGATAGGAATATTAAGGCACCCTAGCTCCCTTGACAGTGAGATAGGAATATTAAGGCACCCTAGCTCCCTTGACAGTGAGATAGGAATATTAAGGCACCCTAGCTCCCTTGACAGTGAGATAGGAATATTAAGGCACCCTAGCTCCCTTGACAGTGAGATAGGAATATTAAGGCACCCTAGCTCCCTTGACAGTGAGATAGGAATATTAAGGCACCCTAGCTCCCTTGACAGTGAGATAGGAATATTAAGGCACCCTAGCTCCCTTGACAGTGAGATAGGAATATTAAGGCACCCTAGCTCCCTTGACAGTGAGATAGGAATATTAAGGCACCCTAGCTCCCTTGACAGTGAGATAGGAATATTAAGGCACCCTAGCTCCCTTGACAGTGAGATAGGAATATTAAGGCACCCTAGCTCCCTTGACAGTGAGATAGGAATATTAAGGCACCCTAGCTCCCTTGACAGTGAGATAGGAATATTAAGGCACCCTAGCTCCCTTGACAGTGAGATAGGAATATTAAGGCACCCTAGCTCCCTTGACAGTGAGATAGGAATATTAAGGCACCCTAGCTCCCTTGACAGTGAGATAGGAATATTAAGGCACCCTAGCTCCCTTGACAGTGAGATAGGAATATTAAGGCACCCTAGCTCCCTTGACAGTGAGATAGGAATATTAAGGCACTCTAGCTCCCTTGACAGTGGGATAGGAATAGTAAGGCACTCTAGCTCCCTTGACAGTGAGATAGGAATATTAAGGCACTCTAGTTCCCTTGACAGTGAGATAGGAATATTAAGGCACCCTAGCTCTCTTGACAGTGAGATAGGAATAATAAGGCACTCTAGCTCCCTCGACAGTGAGATAGGAATGTTAAGGCACCCCAGCTCCCTTGACAGCGCGATAGAACTATAAAGGCCCTCTAGCTCCCTTGACAGTGATATGGGAATAGTAAGGCTCCCTTGACAGTGAGATAGGAATAGTAAGGCACTCTAGCTCCCTTGACAGTGAGATAGGAATAGTAAGGCCCCCTAGCTCCCTTGACAGTGCGATAGGAATGTTATGGCACCCTAGCTCCCTTGGCAGTGAGATAGGAATGTTATGGCACCCTAGCTCCCTTGACAGTGAGATAGGAATAGTAAGGCACTCTAGCTCCCTTGACAGTTAGATAGGAATATTAAGGCACCCTAGCTCCCTTGACAGCGCGATAGAACTATTAAGGCCCTCTAGCTCCCTTGACAGTGAGATAGGAATGTTAAGGCACCCTAGCTCCCTTGACAGTGAGATAGGAATGTTAAGGCACCATAGCTCCATTGACAGTGAGATAGAAATATTAAGGCACCCTAGCTCCCTTGACGGTGAGATAGGAATAGTAAGGCACTCTAGCCCCCTTCACAGTTAGATAGGAATATTAAGGCACCCTAGCTCCCTTGCCAGTGAGATAGGAATAGTAAGGCACCCTAGCTCCCTTGGCAGTGAGATAGAAATGTTATGGCACCCTAGCTCCCTTGACAGGGAGATAGGAATAGTAAGGCACTCTAGCTTCCTTGACAGTGAGATAGGAATATTAAGACAACCTAGCTCCCTTGACAGTGAGATGGGAATATTAAGGCACCCTAGCTCCCTTGGCAGTGAGATAGAAATGTTATGGCACCCTAGCTCCCTTGGCAGTGAGATAGAAATGTTATGGCACCCTAGCTCCCTTGGCAGTGAGATAGAAATGTTATGGCACCCTAGCTCCCTTGGCAGTGAGATAGAAATGTTATGGCACCCTAGCTCCCTTGGCAGTGAGATAGAAATGTTATGGCACCCTAGCTCCCTTAACAGTGAGATAGGAATAGTAAGGCACTCTAGCTGCCTTGACAGTGAGATAGGAATATTAAGACACCCTAGCTCCCTTGACAGTGAGATAGGACTATTAAGGCACCCTAGCTCCCTTGACAGCGAGATAGGAATAGTAAGGCACTCTAGCTGCCTTGACAGTGAGATAGGAATATTAAGTCACCCTAGCTCCCTTGACAGTGAGATGGGAATATTAAGGCACCCTAGCTCCCTTGGCAGTGAGATAGAAATGTTATGGCACCCTAGCTCCCTTGGCAGTGAGATAGAAATGTTATGGCACCCTAGCTCCCTTGACAGTGCGATAGGAATGTTATGGCACCCTAGCTCCCTTGACAGCGAGATAGGAATAGTAAGGCACCCTAGCTCCATTGACAGGGAGGTAGAAATATGAAGGCACCCTAGCTCCATTGACAGTGAGATAAGAATGTTAAGGCACCCTAGCTCCCTTGACAGTGCGATAGGAATGTTATGGCACCCTAGCTCCCTTGGCAGGGAGATAGGAATGTTATGGCACCCTAGCTCCCTTGACAGTGCGATAGGAATGTTATGGCACCCTAGCTCCCTTGGTAGTGAGATAGGAATAGTAAGGCACTCTTGCTCCCTTGACAGTGAGATAGGAATAGTAAGGCACCCTAGCTCCATTGACAGTGAGATAGAAATATTAAGGCACCCTAGCTCCATTGACAGTGAGATATGAATGTTAAGGCACCCTAGCTCCCTTGACAGTGAGATAGAAATATGAAGGCACCCTAGCTCCATTGACGGTGAGATAGAAATATTAAGGCAACCTAGCTCCATTGACAGGGAGGTAGAAATATTAAGGCACCCTGGCTCCATTGACAGTGAGATAATGTTATGGCACCCTAGCTCCCTTCACAGTGAGATAGGAATAGGAAGGCACTCTTGCTCCCTTGACAGTGAGATAGGAATATTAAGGCACCCTAGCTCCCTTGGCAGTGAGATAGGAATAGTAAGGCACCCTAGCTCCCTTGAGTAAACTTGATCATGGACTAATATTACACTACTTGTGTTAGTGATTTTGCTGTTTCTGTAGTAGTATTTTAATGTTATATATCATGGAACTCCCCATAAAATGTACATGTTAGCCCTTCACAAGGAAAATCCTTGTTTACCTTGTGATAGCTAGTTTTATTGCTCACAGATCTGACAGTGAAAATACCAAGCTACAAGTGTATTAATACTGTTAGATGCTGGTTCCCCGAACAGGCAACAGCTAACTGCAGGAAATACTTCACAATGTTACAGTATTTCACAAACCAATCTGATAAAAATCAACTCATTCACTCTGTTTCTGTACAATACACACAGTGATGTGGGATCTGAGGAAACACCATAGAGGCTAGGTTACCTTCTGGTGACAGCTGATTCTGACCAATCAGTGAACAAGTGCTAAACTCATGGGTGTCAGAGCATTGCCTAACTTCTTTTTGTTACCATACGTGTATCATTATTTCTATTAACCCTTTCACCACTGTAGACCCTAATGGACTTCTCCAGATTCACGCATGATAGAGTTTATTAAAGTTACGTCGAGGTGAAAGGGTTAAAAGTGAACCAGAACATAACCTCCTTTGGAGCTTCATCCTATTCTACATTGCATCCTATCAGAGAGAAATAGAGTGAAGTATCTAATCAGAATCAAATTGTCCAATAATGAAACAAAATGATGGTATTGCCTCAAGTTAGATGTTGTTTGTAATTTCCAGGTTTTGTATGCAGTTCACAGAGACCCCTAATATGAGTGAACCCATTCCAGAGACTATACAGAAGGTAAGACCCTGAATTGTACAGGTGTATTGGAAATTCATGGACAAGAAGTGGTCACCTAGTATCCAACAGAAAATATTTCTTCAGGCATACTTTATTTTAGATGATTATGCCCCCCCTTCCCCCCAAAAAAAACAACCTTGAGAAGCATATAGTTGCAGCGTCTGTTCATCCAGGACAAGAACTTCACACTTGCTAAAGATAGCCTAATGACATTTTAGTGATACTTTGTATATTGGGGATGGCAAGGCATTGTGTTACATACCTCCCAAGGTCAAGGTCACAGTGAGGTCAAAGGTCAAATACATTGTCCAGGCTATTACTCCTGACTAGCTGAAGATAATTTAATGAAATTTTAGGAATATATGCAGGGTGGCAATATGTGGTGTGTTGTGTACTACATTTTGTTCTCTTTACCAAAAGAAAAGGTAACGTTGAGGTCAAAGGTCAAATACATTCTCCGGGAGTTATCTCCTTTATCTAATTGGCTTGATGAAACTGTAGCAATATGATTGGGTCTGAATGCCCAAGGTCAAGGTCAAACAGAGATCTGGGGGCAAATTCATCATTTGCGCCATAATTTATGACTCGCTCACCGATTTATGGTTTAATGAAATTTTAGAGATACATGCAAAATGGTAGGATGTGTCAAGTACATCGGTCCATTTGCCTAAGGTCAAGGTCACATTTAGGTCAAAGGTCAAATTTATTTTTCAGGCCCAAACTTTGTTCTCCCTAAACATATCTAATAAAATATTTAAGATACATGTAGGAAAACAGGTGATGTGTTCCATACCACAAATGAGTCTGTGCAGCCTAGGTCAAGGTTACCCAGTGAAATATTCAGCTCAAAGGTCAAATTATTTTTCAGGGTGATAATTTAACCTGTCTTGCTAAAGATAACTTGATGAAATTTTAATGCATCCATACACAGTTTTCTTGTATTGTATAAATTATTATGAAGTTCTCAGGAGTTTCTATTGAAAGTTAGTTGCCATAAAAAAAACCAGCCTATAAGCTTTTAACATTATCATTATTATGCCAGATATTTTATGAAGATTGAATTCTTAATGATTCAATAACCTGTCAAAAATCAACTGGCTTCCTTTAATAAATTAACCTCCCGTTAGAAATATAAGAAAAATTGGAAGATCACCAGTCCTGTATTAAATTCAGTTGGAGAAACAAGAAATATACCAGTTTGAGCTCACCTACCAGAAGGGCAAGTGAGCTTATGTCATGGTGCGGCGTTCGTCATCCGCCCGTCTGGCAGCGTCCGTCAACATTTCCTTTAAACAACTTGTACTGAGGAACGGACAGGCCTAGAGTCATAATATTTGGCTGAAAGCTTTGTTGGTAGGAGCCTGACAAATTTGAGAATGAAAATGACCATGACCTTCTTTCAAGGTCACAGGGGTGAAATGTGTCAAACACTTCAAACAACTTCCTTGAAGAACTGAAAGGTATATAATCTTCATATTTGGCTGGTGGCTTCCTGGGATAGAGCCAGAAAAAGTTTGAGAATGTAAAGGATCTTGACCTACTTTCAAGGTCTCGGGGGTCAAATGTGTCAAACACTTCAAATTACTTCTTCTCAAGAATTGAAAGGTATATAATCTTCATATTTGGCTGGTTTCTTCCTGTGATAGAGCCCGACAAAGTGCAAAAAAGAAAATGACCTTGACCTACCTACAAGGTCACACAGGTCAAATAAGTCAAACAATTAAATGACTTCTGAATAATCTTAGAGCACAGCTTTATAATATTTAGCTGGTAGCTTCCTGGGATGGCACCTGACAAAGTTTGAAAATGAAAATAACTTTTATCTCCTTATAAGGTCACAGGGGACAAATATGTTAAACAACTTCTTAAGAAGAACCAAAAAGCATAGAATCATGTAAACATATTTGGTTGGTAGTTTCAGCAGATGGAGCCGACAAAGTTTGCGAGTGAAATTTTTGTAGTACGTGATAATATTTAATGAGAATATTTTGCTATGACTGCTTAAATATTCAGGTGAGCGATACAGGCCCTCTGGGCCTCTTGTTTTAAATTTCAATTTAACTGGAAATTACTGATAAATATAATGTTCATTTTAATACAGTGTTGTTTGGTGTAGATGAAACTACCAAGTGGTGTTTTGATAATTCTAAAACAAGTTTGATTTGATGATTCATAAGTTTCACACTAAGAAGAACATCCAGTGAATGAGTTATCTGATATAACATGTGAGCAGTGATCATGATGTTTGTTGTTGAGCAGGAAGGACAACCTGCTGGTCAGAGGAAATCTCCAACAGAAGGAGGTGACAAAGGACTCCTCCCCAATCCTGGGGGGCCACCCAACAACCAAACTCCACCAACTGGTCGGGGGGGTAAGTTATACTTTGTATACATGATCTTTATGATGCATGATGTTGTGCATTTAAGTAAGATATTTTTTTCCATTTTTACCATTTTTGTAGAAGTTATACATGCCTTTTAATTGCTGTTTACAGTTTTATGGAACTTGTGCCTTTTAGATAATTTTAATGAGGGAATATTAGTTTTTGTTTTATTCTTTTCCTGTTATTATTTTTCAGATGAAAAATTGATCATTGAGTTCGTTTTGTGGTTAAGTTTATTTTTTAGGTCACCTGAGACAAAGTCTCAAGTGACCTATTGCGATCGCCTTTTGTCCAGCGGCGTCCGGCGTCCGTCGACCATCGTCCGTTGTGCGTCCGTAAACAATTTACATTTTCGACTTCTCCCCTGAACCAATTTCAATGAAATTTTGCAGAAACCTCCATGGCCAAAGGTCAACAAAAATAGTGTCCAGTTTGGTCCCCAGCCCCTAGGGGCCTAAGGGGCGGGGCCACAAAGGGTCAAATTGACTAAAATTTCAAAAATCTTCTTCTCAAGACCCAGATATGGTAGAATCAAATACTCATCATAGACCAAAATTGTGAATTTCTTGACCCTGGGGTCTCACGTTTCCCCCTGGGGAGGGGGTAAACTTTACTATAGTTTATACAGGGAAATCACATTTTGGACTGACATTTGTTTAATTTCCATTAAAGGTAATTCAATTTAGGTTAGCATTATCAGTATTGTGTAGCAGTTTGATGGTATGCACATATGAGCCCTGACTGACCCCCCGGGGCTGATGGGTGGGGCCAAAAAGGGTTGAATTGACTGAAATTTCAAAAATCTTCTCAAAGACCCAGATATGGTAGAATCAAACACTCTTCATAGATGGAAAGGTCTGAGGTCTTAAGACCCTAGGGTCTCGCGTTTACCCCCTGGGGAAGGAGGGGCAAAATTTATTATGGTTTATAATGGCAAACGGTACTTTGAATATAACATGTTAATAGCTTGATTGGAATTATCACCCAGAGTTGACAGTTTGATACTTTGAAAATTTTGAGCCAGCCCTACCCCCAAGGGCTGTAGGGTGGGGCCCAAAGGAGTCAGTGTGCTAAAATTTCTTAATTTTCCTTGTTTAGAATCAGAGGTGCTAGTTTCAAATACTTTTTAGTCTCAAATCTGTATGCTAGATATTGAATAAGGTGGTTTTATTGTTTTTTGTCACTGAATAATATTTCTGTTCGTGTTAAAAACAAAATCAACTCTCTGTATAAATATATCAGGTGACCGTTAAGGCCCATGGGTCTCTTGTTTTTAAATAAAATCAAAATGTGAGTATGTTTTCATTGTGTTAGATTTGAGAAATGGTGTAAGCTTTTTTTTTATTCAATTTCAGGTAATCCTAATTATCAAAATCAGAGGCCACCACGACCTTTCATGCAAGGTCAAGGTCGAGGCATGCAGCAAGGTCATGGTGGCAACATGGCGCCAATGAATGTGAATGGACGAGGAGGGCGGGGCATGAGAAGATGATTGACAGCAAGAATTGCTTCTTATTGTGAAAAAAATAATGTCAGTTTTCATACAAAAAAAGCTATTTTAAAATACATGTAGTTATTGTCATTGTTTTTGGTATAAATACTGAAAATTACTCATATTTGGTAAGATTTTGAAAATTGATTACAAGTTGAAATAAAGGATTTAAATCATTACGAAAAAGATATAAAACAAAATTGCTGAAAGAAGAATTCACAAAAAGTAAGCAGTTGATATTTGGTCTAGATTTTTTAACTGTAATCTCCTTATGGACCAAAACAATTTTATCAATCAGCTTTAACCCCTTAATGGTGCACAAAGATGATATGTTGTACATAATGTTTTAATAGGTAAAAATACCAAGACAACTCTCTTAGAAATGTTTTGATTTTTGCTGTTGTTATAAATAGAGAAGGTTGAGGCTACAGAAGTCTTCAATCTGTATACAAAACTGTAATGGAATTTATACAAAGGGGTTTGGTGGGGTGTTTTAGGGGCCTAGGACAAGTAGGATGATGGAGGAGTGAAGAGGGTTAGGTTTTTTATTTTACCTTATAGAAAACTGAAGAAGTATACTGTCGCACTTTTCAATAACATGGTTTTTGCTTAATGCCTGAAGCACAACATGATTTTGTTAATTTATGGTAAACAGATTTGGTTAATACTCAAAATGGATTTGTGGCAAATTTACAGGAAACTTTTCATTGCTGTAATTGTTGTGTATTAAATATTGGCTCAAGAATATATTCAATTGTGTATTTAATATTATGGTAAAGTGAATACTGAGAAAAGTTAACGAAGTGAAACTTTTCATTACATGTACATCAGCTTTCTTTGGTAAAATCCATATTTGCCTAGTGATAACTTTGCTCTGTAAAATCTGTATTTGTCTAGTGATAACTTTGCTCGGTAAAATCTGTATTTGCCTAGTGATAAGTTTGCTTGGTAAAATCTGTATTTGCCTAGTGATAACTTTGCTCGGTAAAATCTGAATTTACTTAGTGATAACTTTGCTCGGTAAAAAACGTATTTACCTAGTGATAACTTTGCTCGGTAAAATCTGTATTTGCCTAGTGATAACTTTGCTCGGTTAAATCTGTATTTGCCGAGTGATAACTTTGCTCGGTAAAATCTGTATTTGCCTAGTGATAACTTTGCTCGGTAAAATCCGTATTTGCCTAGTGATAACTTTGCTCGGTAAAAATCGTATTTGCCTAGTGATAACTTTGCTCGGTAAAATCCGTATTTGCCTAGTGATAACTTTGCTCGGTTAAATCCGTATTTGCCTAGTGATAACTTTGCTCGGTAAAATCTGTATTTGCCTAGTGATAACTTTGCTCGGTAAAATCCGTATTTACCTAGTGATAACTTTGCTCGGTAAAAAAACGTATTTACCTAGTGATAACTTTGCTCGGTAAAATCTGTATTTGCCTAGTGATAACTTTGCTCGGTAAAAAAACGTATTTACCTAGTGATAACTGTGCTCGGTAAAATCCGTATTTGCCTAGTGATAACTTTGCTCGGTTAAATCTGTATTTGCCTAGTGATAACTTTGCTCGGTTAAATCTGTATTTGCCGAGTGATAACTTTGCTCGGTAAAAACCGTATTTACCTAGTGATAACTTTGCTCGGTAAAAAACGTATTAACCTAGTGATAACTTTGCTCGGTAAAATCTGTATTTGCCTAGTGATTACTTTGCTCGGTAAAATCCGTATTTGCCTAGTGATAACTTCGCTCGGTAAAATCCGTATTTGCCTAGTGATAACTTTGCTCGGTAAAATCCGTATTTGCCTAGTGATAACTTTGCTAGGTAAAATCCATATTTGCCTAGTGATAACTTTGCTCTTCACTGTGAAATTGTTCTGTATAGTTAGCTAGGGCATCATAATAAATTCACTCTAATTATACAGAGCGTGTAAAGGACAAAGGTTAATACTGCTGCAAATACCCTCAGGTATACCATATACATGTAACAACTACAAAGTTTGTGCTTTGTATTTCTGTGGCTTTGTTCACAATATTCTTTTGTCCTACTTGGTCAGATTTTATTCTTGGAGGCATGCAATAAACTAGATTACAGGAGTGGCATCATGGCCATTACACTTAATTTAAAAGTATCGACTTTGAAAGAGCCATGATGTGCAATATTCGTAACGCATTTATATTTTGAAAAACATGTTAACATTTATATATTGTCCAACAAGGATAAAGAAAGATTACTTTCATTTTAAAAATAGTCCAATGTAATACCTTTTAGTTGAAAATTATCAATTTTTACACCATCATCTGTAAAGTTGTCTGATTACTTCCTCACCCAAATTTAGCAGATGTTTGGTTTATAACTTTTAAGTGATTTTTTTGTTTTCATATGATGAAGACCTTCAATGAATTACCACAATAATATAGTTTGGATGATCTATTGATATCCTTCTGAAAGTGTTTATAACCCCCTTGTAAAACACAGGTGCAAATCATGTTTTGAAATGAAACCTGTTAATAAATTGTTTAAGATGAAAATGATTCTTTTGCAAATATTTTTGTCTCTGACACCACCATGAAGTGAAAGAGAGACTGTGGTGTTGCTTTTACAACATTAAGTTTTTGCGTTTAAGTTAGTTTCACTGAAATTATAAGTGCTAGACCAACCAAACTTGGACCATAGATGCATCTTAGGTAGTTCATCTCAACCCATCGCTGGTTGCGGCCTACCTTTCATGGTCCATTAACTTTGTCAGCATCTCCATCTTGTGTAAGATTCAACATTTAAAAAGCATGTTGATCTGTGTTAATGCGTAGAGAAACTTAGTGGTGGAATGACTCATTTTCATAAAATTTAAATATTAAATTGTTTTTTTGGCCTTAATGAAATGTGACATTATTCGGGGCCAAATAGTGTGTACTCTACTGTTGTAAGTGGCTGCGCTGTTTGAGTGGTTGAGGTGTCTTGACTGTCTACAATCATTACCCCTTCAACACAGGGTCACAGATTCAGGGCATATGGGGCAGTCGTCGGGTACGTGCTGCAGGTTTTTCACAGGTTACTTGGGCTTTCCTCCACCACCACAACCTGGCACGACCTTAAATGACCTCAGCTGTTAAAAGGACATGAAACAAAAACAAACCTTCTGATGTAATGGTACTATTCTAAAACACAACAATAGCGGAACAGTTTTAGGTCATCTGAGCTTTGCTCAAGTGACCTATTCTAATCGCTTTCCGTCCGTCGTCGTCCGTCGTGCGTAAACTTTTTACATTTTCAACTTCTTCTGAAGAACCAGTGGATGGATTTTTTCAAACTTGGTCAGAATCATCCTTGGTAGATGAGGCTACACAATTGTAAAATTGGAATTCCTACCCCAACCCCTGGGGTCAGGGCGGGGCCCAAAAGGGAAAATTAACCAATATTTCAAAAATCTTCTACTCCAGACTCGGAGGTACTACAGTCATTTTCTCTGCATGGAAAGAAAGATCATCAGGGGCTTTACTTAAATTGTAAATTTCAGGACCCCCGAGCTATTAGTTCTCCCTTGGGGAGGGGGTAAATTTTACTATAGTTTATATAGGGAAATAACACTTTTGGGTATATTTTGACAACTTTCTGTAGGAAATTATTTTTACTTGGGGAACTAACACTTTTGGGTATATTTTATCCATTTTTAGCAGAAAATTACTCAAACTTAGTCAGAATCATCTTTGGTGAATGAGAGTATTATATATATAATAACTTTGTAAAATTGGGATTCCTGCCCTCTCCCCAGGGGCTAGGACAGGGCCCCAAAGGGAACATTTTCCAATATTTTCAAATTCTTATCCTTTGATGACATGACAAGTATTGTGTTTCACTTAGTTTACATGCTGATTTCCACATCACATCTAAACAATAAAATAAAGCTACCAGTACCTATGATATAACTCAGGTGACTGCTAAGGCCCTTGGGCCTTTTGTTTGTAAGAGAAGTAGATTAACCAGGCACACATTGAATAATGACGAACAAGGCTTTGTAATGTTAATAGGATCAAGGCTATGCCGGATAGACTAGGAGTTCCTTTTAAGCTCACCTGGCACAAAGTTATGGTATGATGTGGCATCCATTGTCCGTCTGTTAACTTTTGTATAATAAATGATTTCTTGAAGAAAACTAAAGCTACAGTCGTGATATTTGTCTGTCCTGTTCGAACAGAGCAAACATTGAGGAAATGTTTTCAAAATTTCTGCAAGTGAGAATACTTTTAAGGAATTTTTGAAAAGGGCCATCAGCAGTGTTGTTTTTACCCCACCAGCCTTGGTTACTTCCATTACATATATGTTTTTACCCCACCAGCCTTGGGTTACTTCCATTACATATATTCTAACAAATGTTTTAGACCCCATTTATTACCTTGTATATATAATTGGTAAAATTATGCCAATACAATATAAAAGTCATCAAATGTTGTCATCATCCTTATCCTTATCATTGTCATCATCATCATCATCATCATCATCATCATCATCATTGTTTACACTGTATCATTGTGAATTATTCATTAACCTGGAAATAAAAACAAAAGAAATTAAAAAGACTTCAGTTATATATCGTATAATGCCCACAAGAAAACTCCAGGTGACAATATCTCGGCCAGCATATCCTAGGTTAGTCTTTGCTCCTAACTGAAAAAGGGTTAGATGAAAAAGTAATCAGGTACCTGGATGCGTAACATCGGGGGTAGTTATCATATCTGAAAACCTTCGTTGCAATTTGGCCTGTAGTTTAGAGTTGTCCAGATCTTTGCATCCATATGCATGAAGATTAAAAAAAGATTGTTGAAGGTTTAGCGGATTCGACCCTTTCAGGGTTATTTGACCCCTGTGACCTTGAATATAAGTAAAGGTCATTTGTTTGAACAAACTTGGTAGCCCTTTATCCCAGCTTGTTACTGGCCAAATATCATTATCCTCGACTTATTCAGAAGTTGTTGTTTAAAGGTTTTAAACATATTTGACCCCTGTGACCTTGAAAATGGGTGAAGGTCATTTATTTGAACAAACTTGGTAGCCCTATATTACAGCATGCTACTGGTCAAATAGCATCAACCTAGGCCTCTTGGTT